AGACACAGGATCACGCAGTAGGCAGGCGAGCAGGTAGGCCCGGAGGAAGTAACCTCTGACTTTTTCTCTCCTGGAGCCAACACAGAGCCCCTTCGCCCGACGAGAGGGTCGACGGGACCTTCCTCGACATCTTCAGGTAACTGCAGCATTGCCTCCGCCATCGTCTCGTGCATTTGTTGGTTCTTCCGTAGAAAAGCCCAGCTTCTAGCTTGGCGGCTTCTGCCCGGCTAACGAGGGACCGAGACGGAATTCCTGTCGTTTTCGATGGCGCTTTGTTTTGCAAAGCAAGGCAGTAGACATGGATTGAATAGTAGCTTAGCCACGTACTAACAACTACTCAGCCGCCATGTCCGTACTTCTTCAGTCTGTCTCAGACATTAACTGAACAAGTTTTCTTTTAGTAATACTGATGTCTACATTCCTTATGCATTTTGGTTGAACCTGTGCGTAGTCTAGCTTATCAACCATTTTTTTTTTTAGGTTTACAGAAGTATGTATCTGTGCAAATGTAGATAAGAACAATAGGGAGCACAGGTCAAGTATTGTGGTAGCACTCATGAGTACCAGAGAAAATCGTTGCATGACAAGTGTTACGTGTGACCATCAAGTTGATTGGCAAACATGCACCATTCTGGCATGAAGAAAATAGTTGTATCCATTATGTGTTTCTGACCATCGACTTTGGATACGTGGTCGTGGAAGACGTAGAAGTATCCGGCACTGTACGATACATGATCTGCTCTTAAATTAACACCATATTATACCCCCAAGGAACAGATCCACATAGAAATTGAGTAGTTTCCTTGGTCACTGCAACGAAACGCTGACCTTGAAAGTCTCGCTGTTGCAAGTTTGTTAGCTGTAGAAGGCTGTAGCACGCTGTACATAGCCGCGCCCCTAACGCCTCCCCGACCCGCAGGAGCAGCTCCCGCAGCGAGCCCCGCAGCAGTTCGCGAGGGGGTTCCCGCACCGGCAGCGCCCTCGGCATGGTGGAGGACGGCGGCCACATGAAGCACTCCCGCAGAGAGTACCTGTCGCCTGACGAGAAGACCCACGTCGTCACCGAGAAGTACGAGTACGACACAGGTGATACAAGCAAGGTAAGCTCGAGGGCGGAGGAAGGAGCGTGCAGCCCGACGCGCGTGCCGTGACAAGACGAACAGCCTCTGGGAAACTGTTCCGGTTCGATCAGCTGTCTTGTGCTGCTAATATTTCCCCTTGCTGTGAATCAGAATACTCGTTTTTTGCTGTCTATAAATATCTATAGGTAGGAAAATGTGTGGGGGAAACTATGATAAAGTTCATAATTATTTTTTCTACATTATTTAGTGAATAATACAAGTTTCTCCATCCTTCCTATCTGAGAATTTACGCAACGCATTGTCCCGGATATAATGTAGGCCAGTGTAAGATTAGGCTGCTCATGAGCCGGATAGGAGCAGCTTCACTTGGGACAAATTTACACTTTTAAGCATGACTGGTAATAACACGACATTTTCTTTGTGTCGCCAGTCATTTCTTTACTTCTTTTATTAATCCATGTATTCATTCATCTGATTTATGCTATAAAACCATCAAAGTCTATTTTCATTGATTCGAGTTCCGTATATTTATATTTGAGCTAAACCCACCCAAAGGACCGTCTCAAAGTATTCCCAAACAAACAGACGACAAAAACAAAACAAAAAGAAAACAAAAAAACTGGCAAGCACCCTGACTCGGCCTCGTTCCCACAGACTAGTCACTATCAGAAGAAAGTGATGAAGTCGACCTACTCGAGCTACAACTCGATGAGCGCAGGCAGCCTGGACGACCCACCGACCCACGCCCTTGAGTCCCCGCCACAGACCTCGCGTCCTGCCGGCACTAAAGGTATGTATATTTCGGCAATGGAAGCCTCACAGTTTCTCCCTCTCTCTCTCTCCCTTTTTTAGAATTTTTTTTATCGCTTTGTCAGTGTAGGTCTATCAAGGTTGCAATGAACAATTTAGGTTTTCTCCCTTGAAGTAAGCCAAGCTTTTCATTCATACCACATAAGCCACTTTATTTATTTATTTTTTTTTATTCCACTTCCCACATTGCTTGAAAAAAAGAGCGCAGGAGAACCGCGTAGAGACCGCGAGGCCTTTGCTTTTTAACAGAAACTCAGATAATTTGTCTCAATCTTGAAATGCACATGATGCTGAAATGTGTTGCTGACGATTTCACAACCCTCTACAACACGAACCTGATTAAAAAAAAATCTTGGTTTGGCGATAATTTTTTTTATTTTATTCTTCACACAGTTTAGATTTACTCATTAGAAAAACAGACTATACTAGTTTTGACAGGATTGGCAAGGAATAGTCTAGCAGTATTGCAAGCTGAAAATCGATTAACCTGCAGTATATTCAGTCCCAGATAGTAATTTCCGTAACCTATCAATAATATCACCTGGTTTCTCATCAACCAACACCTGTTATGTAATACACTACACGTTTTTATATAAAAAAGTGCATCC